CATGGAGATGCGTGTCACTGTGTCATGGAGATGCGTGTCACTGTGTCGTACAGATGTGTGTCACTGTATCATGGAAATGATGTATGCCACTGTGTCAAAGAAGTCCTATCCCATGTTTTGCTTCTAAGTGATTTTAAATATAGAGTGAATTCAGTACCTTCCACATCCAGTGTGGCTATGTGCCAGGCAAAGTCTCTCTGGGATCAATTTACTGTCTCTGTCTTCTGCAGTCCCAATGTGATGGAGCGGGGTGAGTTTAGAGTTCAAGGTGCCCTCTTATTCCAATGGCCTGTATTTGTCCATGAGTGAGTGGACGCAGGGCACAGGCAATGTAGGCAAAGAGGTGAGAAACTCGAGTTCACAGATCAGCTGGGAAGTGCCGGCTACAGCGTGGGTCTGACCCATGTGTTGTGCCCCCGACACACACACACACACACACACACACACAGACACACACACAGACACACACACACATGGTTTGCTCCACAGAGGCTAGTTCAAATCCTCAGAGCTCTTGACTTTCCTGGGGTCTGAGCTGGGGAGGGAAAGTGAGAATTTACAGTGGCTTAGGAAGCAGCTTCCACACTATGGCTGCTCAGGGACATGGAAAAATGGTTTCAAGCAGCACACACATTTTAGACATGAGAGAGCATTCCAAATTTTTAATAAAACTAACTGAATGTTTTCAATGTTTGATATTATCCCAAGCCAGAAATTCCAGATGTCTGGTAGGAAGCTACCGCTTGTGTTTAAGCTATCAAGAGGGTTTGAAGGCGTCAAGGAGAGAAAAAAAGGTGTGCCCTTCAACTTTCCTAATTAAAACAGAGTTAGGTCTTCTCTCTTCCGGGGGTATAAGGAGAAAACCCAGAGAGAGCAGTGAGCTGCCTGTGGGTGGGTGGGGGGGGTCTGCCTTCCTTCCCTCCCAAACCTCTGGGCTGCAGAGTAGAAAGGATAGAGCAAGGAGCGCACAGCGTGATGGAAAATGCAGCCCGGTGTGGCTGCTGTTTATCACTGCAGACAGGGAGCCAGTAATTGTCCGCGTGATGGACGCCAGATGCAAATAATAATAGCCAGGCTCCCGCCATCTGGAACCCGACCTCCCATCTCTCCTGGACGGCCACTGAGTCACACATCTTTAAATTCAGATCTTGCCTGCTGCAAACTTCTCCCAGAGGTTCCGCTGCTGTGACAGCCTGCTTTCCCTGATGAGATGCCCTTAGTTTTACTGCCATTGTCCTGACTTCATGCAAAGTCTTCACCACAATGAGAGTTTCTTGGCTACTCTAATCAAGAACCTTCCAGATTGGGAAAAAAAAGTCCCGGAATCCACACATGCAAGCCCAGTAGTCTGGTTTTTGCTTTATTCAAGACTGATGAGTTTAGATCATCTTGTTTTATTCTTTCTTGAGAATCTACAGTGCTTTGCTGAGAAGCCTCGAGACTTCCTCAGGCCCTAACTAAGCAGGGTTTACAGAGCCAACGGGTGTGGGGAGAGGGACTTGGTAAACCGTAAGAAGGAAACAGGCACTCCCTGCCTCCTTAGGTCTGGCTCTATGTTTGTGTGTGTACGTGTGTGTGTCTGTGTGTGTGTGCGGGGGGGGGGCCACTGAGAGCTCTTGTCAAGCCTTGCCCTGATCCCCAAGCTGGGTACCCTTGGGCTGTTCCTACCCAGTGTGGTCAGACTCTGGTCAGAACCAAGGGTACAACAGGACCAACTGTTCTCACTGGAGGCCTCATTAGCGCTGAGCAGTTCTCTGAAGGCCCCTGTAAGTGACTGTGCTGGCAATATCCCTGTACCACCCTCAAGTTACCAGGACTTACTGAGTGTGACCGAGTCGTTGATCTTGAAGCTGCAGAGGACCCTGTCCACGTTGCGGGCGTGTCGGAAGCCATTTCCCCTTACGACCACTTGAAAAGACTCTGAAACGAGGAACAACAGCACACATTACTTGGCCATCACCCATGGACTTGCTTTCTCTCCAGAGCCCCTGGTTGCTATTTCCGTAGGATTCAGAAGCCCAGGGATCAGGTCAGGTAGGAGAACAAGGACAGCGCGAAGGCTCCTTTCTGTTAACTGACCCCTTCTCTCCTGTGTGCTCAAGGAAGACGCGGCTTCCTGCTCAGAAGTGCCGCTCCCTGCTTCTGCTCCTGCCTGCACTGCCATCCTCTCCATCTCTATTCGAGTCTGACCCACTTTTTACATCTAGACAGTGCTAAAACAGCCAGAGGGGACCTTCCAGAGAAGGGTCCTCCACCTCCTCCCAACATCCCTTCTCTAGTCTGATTTACAGTTTGGAATCTCCTGAAAGGATTTCTTCAGAGCCAAGATACCTCAGGAGTTTTGGGGACTCCAGCCCATGGCACGTGGAGCCTGTGGTGAACCACTGCTGGGCATGCAGCTACGTAGTGTCCTTTGGTCTTTCTCCCCCAACCAGAAAAGCATTCCTTTAATTAGCGGTGGTGCGACTTTTGCAGCTTTCCCTTCTCCTGGATGCATGGCTGTCCTGTGCAGCACAGTGCAGGGTCCAGGAGTCATCCTACTCTGTTGTGGGAGTAACTTCCGCTGCCTCAACCAATAGTCACTGAAATACGAGCCCACAGTGCAGCGGGGAGCGACTTCCGCTCCGTCAGCCAATAGCTGCTGAAATACCAGCCCACTGGGGCGTGGTATATTTCTCTTTTTAAAAGAGAAGCATATCCGGAATAGGCTCTCTTGGTTCCGGCTCTTGGTTCCGGTGCTCGGTCTCGGCTGCTGCTCCCGGCTCCTGCTCCAGCGACTAGGCTCCCTTCCTGACGGTTTATGGTGTATGTAAGTTTTACCCCCCGCCAAATAAATAACCCCTTAAAACATAACTGGTGTGGGATTGATTCGTTAATACTACTCAGGTGTCCAGGGTGACTGCTTGAGCTGACACTGGGCCTTCAGGACAGGGCCCTTTCTCTATGACTAGAAGAGCCCTCATGAGCTCGCAAATCAACTGCACACCCATGTGTATCCAGTTATCAGTATGTATGGTTGCCATTGTTATAGGTTTAAAAACTCTTTATAATATCGTCCTACCAAGGAAAAGTATCCAATTATTAAAATGCTTAAGAATACCGGCTCATGTCTGATGATGTCAAGTACCGTTCTGTTTATTCATTTACATATTTATTCCCGTGAGCCTGTGCACCTGCATGGAGCAGCCAGAGGACAACCTTAGCTGTTGCTCCCCAGGAGCTGTCTACCTTGGTTTTTGAAGCAGGGCCACCTCTGACTTTAGGCTCGCCGAGGGGGCTAGGCTGGAGGGCCAGTGAGCCCCACCTGCCTTTGCCTTCCTGATGTTAAAGATTAAAAGTGTTGCCACCATACTGGTTTTAAGTTTGTTTTTTTTTTTTTCTTTAATCTGTATCCTGGGGATTGAACTCCAGCCCAGAAGAAAAGCTGCAGTGTCTGAGAAAGTGGACTTAAAGTAACTTGCTACCCAAGTAGAGGCTGCATTGGCAGAAGAATGGAATTAAAAAGCCAGCATATGGGACTCTTTCAATGTTAAATAAATGTCATGAGTTTATGTCACGTTCACTCCCATGGATTTCAAAGATCTTGTTTGCCAAAGCAATAGCTGATAGTTAATTGCCCCTGACTGTGCCAGCCCAGTGGTGAGCGCTGTAGGGCTCTGATGTCATTTCCAACCCCCTGCAGGCCAGGGAGTGTAGCTGAGAAAGCGATCTCAGAGAGGTTATGTAATTGCTCAAGATCGCACCAATTTAAAAACCCTCAGACCTGATCTGGAATCCAGGGCAGCCAGGCACCAGGGGCCACTAGCCTGGCTGTCACTCACTATCCTCTTAAGACCATTGGCTGAAACAGAAAATGGACGCTCACTGTGTTGTGACCCTTGAGTAATGAAGGAGTTGCGGTGTGATTTCTTTAATGCCCATCATTGAACTAACTTTGAACAGGTGTGCTCATCTGTCAGTTGTGTTGGGCTGACCCACACACAAAACAAGAAACTATCTGTGAGGAACCCAGAGGCACTGTGGGTTGAGAGTACAAATAAGGAAGGCTTTCAGAAGAACTGGGGTCAAAAGAGAAGGGGAGTAAGACTGCAACCTTTTTGATGATTTACCCAGAGCTAGCAAAACTGGACTCATATCCTCAGGGTCAGGACCTTGGTTGGAAGCTTTATTAATCAGTGTGGTTTTTCAGGGCTCTAGTCACGAGCAGTGAGGATTTATACATGCATGTTGATACTTGCAAACTATTGCTAAGTTTAGAAAGGTGGATTTAAAACTTTAGATGCTTCCCATCCTGGCCCATCTCTGATCACTGGATAGTTCAGTGGATGGAAAGACTCTTACTGCGTCTCAATGAAGCTTGGGAAACCTATCTTGGGTTTCTAGTTTGAATGCCAGACATACAGACATCTGGTCGACACTTCTGCCGATTCCGCATGTTTTCTGCCTTGCCTTTGGCCTCCCTCTCGTTTCCTCAGAGATCAGCAAAGGGAGAGGAGATGTTGGACACAGGCTGCACGCCAAGCTCCCTTCTCTAACACCATGTTCAGCACTGCCAGCTCAGCTGTCGAACCCTCTATAAAAGCAGCTCCCCACATGTCTGGTTGGCCCTGCCTCAGGGAGTAGAGGAAGGAAGACATCAGGGGCCCACGATAGGAACCAAACCATGCGGCCATTTAGGCCTGGGGAGAAGATGCCGGAGTGAGAGGCAGGCTCCTACCCTGCCTGGCACAATTTCCGCGTCAGCACACACATTTGGTTTCCAGAACAGCTCAAAGATCTGACCCAGCAGCCTCATTGGAATGCCAGATTCTTGTACAAAGAAGTTATGTAATCCAGCTCTGTGCAATGGATCTGTAGCTAGGAGGAACCAGGATACACCCCATCTAGGACACCTCACTCTTATGTCCCTTATCCCCAGAGCCATACAATTGACCCTTCATAGTCTACACAGTTCAGTGTGTACAGAAAATGTGAACACAGGATTCTCTGTAGGATACCAACTCCTTCAGGAAGTTTCTGGGTGGACTGTGAGCCTTCAGGGAAAATTGTTTATGTCTTTGATTTAATCTTTTGTGATATTTCTCCTTTAAGGTATGTATCCTCAAGACAAAGGCAAGGCAGAAAACTTGTAATTTAAGGTTCCTGATCAGATGTTACCATTTCTATGTCTTCCAGATGCTGTCCTGCTAACCTGGGGTGGGTTTAGCTCCATGTAAGCTCACTGGATGACTGAAAGAACAAAATGGGGAAAGGCGAGATGCTCACGTGTTCAGGTCCCAGTCAGGTCTAATCTGGGTACTTTTTGAGGTCAACAATTGAAAATATATTCAACATCATTAGTCACTATGGAAATGCAAATAAAAACTGCAATACTATTTCATAGCTGATATGATGGCTATACTGAAAGTAACAAGAGTAGGTAAAGAAAGGAAAATCCATGTGCATTGTTAGTGGGATTATAAAATGGTAAACCTTTTTGGCAATAGTCTGGCTGTTCCTCAAAATTTTAAATAAATTTTAAACACCATGAACCAAGCTTTCTGCTCCTAGATACGTTGTGGGACAATGGTCTTGTACCCTACAAAGATTTGTCAGTTGTATTGCTTTAATAAAATGCTGATTGGGCAGCAGCCAGGCAGGAAGTATAGTTGGGGTGATGAGAACAGGAGAATTCTGGGAAGAGGAATGCTCAGTCTGCAGTCTTTACCTAGATACAGAGGAAGCAAGATGAGAATGCCTTGCTGATAAAAGGTATCAAACCTCATGGCTAACACAGACAAGAATTATGGGTTAATGTAGGATGTAAGAGTTAATAAGAAGCCTGAGCTACTAGGCCAACCAGTCCGTAATTAATGCAGGCCTCTGTGTATTTCTTTGGGACTGAATGGCTATGGGACCTGACATCACAGGACAGAAATCACAGGCAACATAGATGTATATCCAAGAGAAATGAATGCTGGGTGTCCACATAAAAACGTGCACAAGAACTCACAATAGCACTGTGCACAAGAGCCTGCAATAGAAACAGTTGATGCCCATTAACTGATGAATAAATTTCTCTACATAACAGAATATTACCTAACCATAAAGAACCAGGTATTGATGCACGCTGTAACATGGGAGCCTTAGAAACACTGTGCTAAATGAAAGAAGTCAGGTGCAAAAGGTTGCACGTTGCAGGATTCCATTTTTGTGAATTGTCTAAGAGAGCAAAGTCAGGAAGCAGACTAGTGGTGGCTGTGGGAATGATTGCTCACTAGGTACAGTTTCTTTCTTTCTGGGTGACGAAAGCATTATGGAATTAGGTGGCTGCTGAGGCCACACAACATTGATCAACTGTATGCTTTAGAAGGGCAAATTTCATAGTTTGTGATTTAAAAAGCAAAAAGTAAGGGGTTTGACAAGCCTACTTTACACTCTCCTTTTCTTCAGTTTTCTTTCTTTTGGCTGTTTTTTTTTTTTTAAATTAAAACTCATAGTGTCGGGATGGCTTCCCATCACTCACCGGACCAGAAAGAGAGCATATTTCCCCTTGCTCGGCTCTCTCAACACTGCTGTGTCCCACGACAGCCAGGGCCACTTCATCCTGGAAGTCGGTTTGGGTTTTCTTTCCTGATAAATGCTTATTGCACCATCTAACATTCTTTGGAACACTGAGATTTTACAACAAGGTCTGTGAGTCATAACTGGGGTACATTAGCTGCACGGGAAGGGTAGGATTTGACGTGAGAGACACACAAAGCAGACAGGATGGCGACCTCTTTCCCACCATCAATGCTCCCCTCCACTGCCTCTGTCATCTCTCCCTGTTCCTCCTTCAATCTCAGGAGCCGCTGCTCTGCTTTCTAATAAAGCATCAATCAGGTCCAGCTTTCTAGGAGTTCATCGAGTGGGGTCACACAAACAAGCATTCTGCTTGGCTCTCCCATCAGTGTGATTAAGACTCACCTGTGCTTACTCTGAGGTTTACTCAGGGCTTGTTTTAGGGATGAGTATTATTCCTACATAAAGAAAAAATATTTTTTTTTGGTCCATTCACTTGCTCATGAATATGTGAGTGGTTTGCAGCTTTGGGTCTATTAAAAATAGAGCTAGTATGAGCAACTACCTATTGATTTCGTCTGGCCATAAATTTCATTTTCCCTTTTGTTTTGGGCAGATGTCTAGGGATGGCAAGGCTGGGCCATTCAGTCAGTGTGTGTTTAACTTTCTAAGAAACTGGTCTTCACTGTGGGCTTCCCACTTGGCATTTTCATCGCCAGTACATGAGAGTTCTTCTCCAACCAGAAATATCTTAAACTAAGGGGAGTGTGTGTGTCCAGAAGACCATGAAACACTCCATTCAGAAGAGGGTCTAGCAGCAGGTATGAGTACTTTGCAGAACACCAAACAGGTCAAGAAATGAGAACACCTTCTGACTTTGCTTGAATGAGTCTCCTTCAGGCATCTAAATTTCAACAGCAGACGTGAAGGCAGAAATGGTTTGCTCTTGTATGAACTTTCCCTGCCTCATCAGAAGCAGTGGGAAACAGGGATACTCCAACAGCCTCTGAAATGTCATGTGAGAGACTGGTATGGCTTCCTTTCTAGAAGTGCTGATAAGGACTTTAAATGCAGACCGGATTGGATCCCAGTCAGTTCTTGCCTGGAGTCCTTGCTTATGGAGTATGTGGTGAACTCTGAGCCTGAGACCCACTGAGCTCATCACGGTGTGTGTTTCCTAAACAGGGGTTCAGGGAGGTGGAGCAGCCTATAGATGGGCCGACTTTCCTAACGACACAGAGCTGGGCACACACAAATGGTTAATAAGAACCTTCAGAGGCATCTGTGTTGGAAGGGAACCAAGTTATTTAAACGAAGGTGGTGTCAAAGCTGCCACACAGCAAGTGACAACTGTGTGCTTTGGAACAGGGATTGAATCAAGACAAAGGAGTGAGTAGAACGGCCACGAGTCAGGGGTGACAATAGGGAGTGGAGAGGGGCTATTGTGTGGGAAGAAAGACATGCATGTTGGTCACTTATTCCCAACAATGGCTATCCTGAGCAAATACAGCGCCACTCTCACTAGGTTTGATTTCCCAAGATAGTATGAACACTGGACTCCTTAAGTACATTGGTGTTTGAACATAGTAACAACTGTATCTTTAAAAACCACAGTGTGGATAAAAAAGAATGCATGTGACAATCACTCAAAGCCTGCAGGCTGGCAGACCGAGCCTGGATGTGTTCTGCAAAGGTTCTGCTCCCTAGGCACTTGGGCTAGCGACACATCCTTTAATGGCATGTACTTTCATTCCCCTGTATCAATGAATCAGGTTTTCCCTAAACCTGTCTGTATATGAAGCTGGCTATTTGAGCCCAAATTCTACCCTTAGTAATTATCCTGTAAGAACCTCATTCCTCTCTAGATCCTGCTGCCTCACACAGTACCTGCCACTGGACAACGCACTCAGAGAATCTGGCAGATCTCGTGGGCCCTAGTACTTCTGCGCCATATGCATTAAGTTTATGTATATAATTTTTAAAATTGTCTCGAACACCTTAACAGTATGTGAGGGAGACTGAGTAACTTGTTGAGTATAGAATTTTTGAGGAGGGCTTTTTACTATTGTCTAAATGGCTATTGCTTTTTAAAATTGTGTTTTGTTCTAGTTAAAACGGTTAAAAAGTGGATGACCCTCTTATGGTTGTATAGAAGGAGCTAAAAAGGATCAAACAGAGAAAAGTCAATGGTATCGTGTTTTGAAGGACTACATAGATAAAGACACTCATCAGATTTTACTAATGATCTATTTAGTGCCAGGAACTTTGCTAGGCAGTGGGACATGGAGACAAATAAGGTGCTTAGGGGAAGGAGCTAATGATTCTTGAGAATTAGAAACTGCCCACCCCCTGCAGGCTTTCTGATGTATCACAGGGTTGCTCCACAGCCAAGGTTGCAAAGCCAAAACCTGGGTTTTCATCACCCATGAGATAATTGCACAATCAAGGGACTTCCTTGTCTTCTAATTACTTTAAAGTTCAGAATTATAAAAAACACATTGTATTCACACACAATACATGAAGTTCAAGTCCTCCGAACAGCCCACTCCCTTACAAGACACTCCCAAAGCTCAGGGTGACTGACCTTGAAGTCAATAAAGTCCAGTCCAGTTTCAGCTCTGCTCTGCACGGCCCTTTACAACACCCTGGCAGGCATTTATATGGACATATCTTTTGGCAAATTTCCCTCCCCTGTGTTTTTGATTTATTCATTGTGTGTGTGTGTGTGTTTTGCCTGCATGGATGAGTGTGCACCAAGTGTGTGCTTGATATCCTTAGAGTTTCATCAGAAAAGGGCATCAGGTCCCTGGAACAAGAGGTACAGATGGCTGTGAACACCCTGTGGGGGCTGGGAACCCCCTTGCAGAACCTCTTCTGCAAGAGCAGCTAGTGCTCTTAATCCCTGAACTGTCCCTCCAGGCCACCCACTTCTTCCTTACATGGTGCACTGTGGAGCTCAGGCTGGCCTTGAACTAGCCATCCTCCTGCCTCAGCCTCCCAAGTGATGGGATTGTACTTGTAAATCACCCCACCAGGCTTTCTTTGAAGACATTCTCCTGGAGTGTGCCCTGTGGTGAACACATTCCCCTGCCATTTGAGTTGACAAAAAACAATTATTTGAGTATAGAGAAAGGAAATCTTTTCAAATTGCTTTTCCTTGGGAAATTAACACATAGCTCAGTATAGCCACCATATATTCCGCTAACAACTTTCCATACATGTGCATGTATACATGTAGGTATGTATTCATATATACACATATACATTAATATATGTATGGAGTTCATACATATGTGCACATTTACATAAGCATTGATTCTTGCTAACATGTATGTATTTATTGTGATGTTGACACAGATTTAGTGTCTACCTCCTTGGCCATTTCCAATTACTCTAAAATCCAATTAAGAGTTGAGAAGGAAATTCTTAAGCAAGCACCTTGATTATACCAGTAAAATATGCCATAGGCAAGCTTTTCTGCAGGATCTACTGTCTCATCCAGGTTGGGTGACATATTTTCTGTTGATAATCAATGACTGGCATTTGGTGCTCAGAGAGGCTAGAAATGGAGCATCAACAGGGACTCTCAATAGTGAATGACAAAAGGTTCAGCGGGACAGGGACCCAGAGAGTCCATTTTCATATCCCCAGCACCCCGCAATGTGCCTGGCCCGCATCAGGTCTAATTACATGACTGAAACAGAGCTGACGCCTGTGCATCGGAGGAGCACACCCCTAAAGTGGGAGGCAGCCCATAGTGCAAAGCTGGCCAAAGCCCCAGTCTTCATCACTTGGAGATGATACTGGGATTCAAAGGAAAGGCTGCTCTCTAGAGAGCTCCTCTGCTGATGATACATTGTAGCAGACCTTACAGTGATACCACCATTTTGTGAGTCCTGGTAGATGGAACAGTTAGGTCAAATGACTGTATCAGCACACAGAATACTTAAGAACCGCATTCCAAGGGAGGCCCAGGGCTCACTGTGACCCCTGGAGTGATCTGTAGGGCGGTCACAGGTGGGGTGGCGCTGGGATCAGCCTCGCATCAAGGTGAGAATCCAGGGTTTCTACACTTTCCTTGTACTCATGTCAAAAGAAGGGATTTTGACGGCTGATTTTAGACTTCCCAGCAACTGACATGGTTCTTCTTTCTTTTCTTTTCCCCACAGCAGATTTAATTAGCAATTTCTGATTTTTGTAGTCACACCTACCTGCCTCTTGCCCCACTTCTACTCCCTCACACATGAAGCAAATACAGATTTGAGCTCAAACCAACTAATTGAAAGCGATGAGCACTTGGTTTCCATTTACCTCCTGCGCATATGGTAGACGGTTCAGCTGCCAGAATTTCGATGCAAGATTTCTTTAAAATCTAGGTGGAGAGGAAATAAAACAGTCAATGGCGGGCTTGTTCTACTAAAAGAGAGAATTAAGACAGTACTATGAGACAGAGAAATTCACGGACATTAGGAGTGCGGGAGAAACCCTGGGTGATACACCACTCTCAAAACCACACGTCAATGAGCCAGGCTGCGCCAGGTGCCGCCGCGTGTCCAAACAGCTCTAAGAACCATTCATTCACTCGACCCTTCTGTATTTGTTTTAGGATTTTATTGAACCTGTTAAGCATGAGTCTTGTTGAACCAAGAGATGCAGAATGGCATTCCAAATGCCATCTCTAAAATTCCTTCCCTAGGGAAGATGTGAACATGTCAACAGTTGGTAGGCCCCACGGAGATGAATTCTCAAAGGAGGCATGACTGATCTCGTGAAGATGTCAGCAGTTTGGCTTGGAGGATAGTGTGCCGCACAACCCCATGGGGCTTTCCCTGTGACGTGACACACAATGGCCAGTCCTAGTAGAGCTAAAGGGGCAGATGGAATAAACCAGAAGGGTTATGGGGACCGTTGTGGGGATGCTATGCTAAGGGTACCTAGAAAAGGCAGCTGCAATGGGACTTTAACAGAGCCGTTCGGTCAGCTGGGGGCACAGCTGGGGAACATGCAGGGCACAGAAAGAGTGACCAGCAGAGAGGAGGAGTGAGCCCGGATGTGGCTGGAGAGAGATGGAATGCCTGCAATGCAGGCATAGCGGTCACACTGCTCAGAGCTTCCTGTCTGGAAAGTTGACCTGGTGAGCTTCGCAGCTTACATGTTTGCTTACTCTTCCAGTGGACTCTCTGCCCTTGTTCAGATGGGACTTGTCCTCTAGCTGAGTCACGAGGACTGAACAAGAGCCTGGGGACCATGAAGGCTCTGACGGGGCCAGGGAAGCTCCTCTTCACCATCTATGCATTCTACCCCTTGTTGGGTACCGACTGACATTTCAACCAAGCATTTTAAAGAAGTAGGGGGCACTGAACTTATCTGCTAACCAAAAATGGTTGGGGCTTACTTACGATGAAATTTGAGATGGCTCGGAGAGCTGAAATGTACCATTTCTGAACGCATGAAAGGGTATTTGTGAAATCAACTAACGATGTAATTTGGAGAATTCAGTTTATAGAAGGCAGAAGTGTCTTTTAGAACCAGGAAATGTCCATTTGTCTGCATGAACGTTTACTTAGGGAAACCTCTGGTTGCAGTTTACATTTACACAATCCACCCTCCCCCCCAATATATGATCAAATGGAAAGGGCAGGAAACTGCAGTTCAGAGAACGGGCACAAGGGTAAGTGAAGGGAGATGACGTGAGCAGTGAGCTCAGGAAAGACGTGTAGGGGGCCTTATCTTCCCGGAGCAGTGGAGATGGCATCAAGCCTTCCAGGAGCAAGTGCAGAAGAGGTACTCAGGAACATCTCAATTCAGGGAATGAAAACACACAAATTTCTCAAGAAAGACAATATTTACCCATTCCAGGGAGAAATCTGGGCGTCCTCAGAGCAGCAGTGTAAAAGAAAATGAGCAAACAAGCTTAAGAAAAAAAATCTTTATCTGGAGTGCAGAAGAGGAAACAGTAAAGGGGACTCAGCTACGTCAGCAGTTACGGCGTGGCTTTTAGGAGACGCCACGGCTGGAAGTGATGAAAACTAGCATTTCTTTCTTTGCCAACTTTATTTTGAATCATTCTGCGTGTGTGTGCGCGCGTCCATGTGTGTACACGTTAGTTGCGAAGCCCCGGGACAACACTGGGTATTGTTCCCCAGGCTCTGCCCACCTTCTTTTGGAGAGTCTCTCATTTAGGCTGGTCAGTCAGTCAGCCCCAGGATCTGCTTGTCTCTGCCTCACCAGGGCTGAGATTATTTACTTGGTTTTTTATTCAACTTGCATTCTCAGGCTGGCACTCAGGTCTTCAGGCTTGCAAAGCAAGCATTTACCGAATGAGCCATCTTCCCGGCTCCTCGGTTTTAAAAATGCACATTTCCTAGGCCCTTCTTGCAGTACAGCTTCATGGGGTTTTTGTAATTTGCCTTCCCATAGCCCTATTTGCCTTTAGCTTCCTCTCGACTCTGCGCTTGGGTGATGGTCCCCTTGGCTTTGGTTCAATTAGAGACCTTCAATACCCAACTCCTGCTAACCCCTGTCCCAGCTGCAGGGACATGCAATGTTCTGACGTCACATCTCTCTTGTGCATCTGTCGCTGTTGGAGCGACAAGTCCCTTCGTAGTTGGTTCTGGACGCTTTGTTTCAATGCTGAGCTCTTAATTCCCCCTTGTCATGAGTCTTCCTTGACATCAGGGACAGCCCCAACGATAGATACATCTGGGGAACAGGCACGTAGCTTCTCCAAGCTTCCCTCTCCTAGGTTCATCTACCTTAGGCCTTTGGTAGTATCCTAGGACAAGATACTGCCTTCCTCAAGTGGCCCTACCTGGATGTGATGACTACCCTCCCCCACCGTATACTGTTTTCCTGAGTCACTTTCCAAATCTTCGAGGACAGAGCTCCAAAGAGACCACATTTAAAGAAATGGAGCAAATTCAGAGGGAGTGCGTCAGTAAACAGCAGCAGCAGAACAACGCAGAGCTGTGTTTTGATGTTTTGCAAGAATTCCTCAGATTTCCCCTTGGAAGTTGAATCAATCGTTTAATCATTCATAACTGAAGATTTCAAAACAGTGGAAGAAGAAAGCTGAACTATTGGGTCTGTCTTTTTCTTTGTTTCCCAAAACAAGTACATGACATGTCTGCTCATGTACACTCCTGAGTTTCCATCGACATTTCTGAACCAATGCTAATGTGTAACTAGGATTTGGCAAAATGAAATTTCCATGAATCTTTGACTGCAGACATACTAACAGGGTCTGTCACAATAAACACATGCTGTATTATTTTCTCGAAGTGTCTGCAATTAGCTGATAACTCTAAGGAGTGTATAAAAGGCCAAAATATGTCAGCCAAGTGCTGAGATTCAATCAAGTAAAAACACAGCTTCCCCAAACTTAATCTAAAACATCTGGAAGGGATCATAACTGCCCGTAGAATCAAATTCACCAGGGCAGATAGGCAGGCTTTGTCCGGGACTACAGCTCCTTCTAGCTTGAAATCTCTGGTGTCAAAAGGTAGAAAAGTCTTAATGGTACGCGTGGGTCTTGGGGGTGGGGTCACCCCTTGATTATCAGCAGCCCAGACTATATTGTCATCAGTCTGCCTGAACTGCAGCCAGCAGCAGACCAGCTCAGAGACTCTCTGAAGGGGAGGAGCTCGAGGACCCCTCTCCTGCACAGGCAATAGTAGCCAAGGAGGATGTATGGATATAGTGTTAGGCCCAAATTCCCTAAAATGGCAGTGATCTGGACACAGGGGCATTGCTGGATGATAGATAAAAACTCACATGCAGCATCCCTCAGAAACCAGTCAAAGGGTTTCTGCCAAGAAGACCCACTTCCTTCATCCCGTCTTACCTGGACAAGTGGGGCATCTGGGTCCTTATTAACATGTGACCATTAGTTGTGCACACCGAAGGCCCCATGCTACAGCTTCCTGACCCCCCTTCTCCATTATGCCAGTTCTTAGACTGCTCCAGTTTACAGGCTTCCCAGTTTCCTTTAGAACCCGTGAAGCTTTTCCCTGCTCTGATTTTCTCTCTGCTCCTGAGAGACAGCTCTGGCCCTCACCAGTTGGCCCCTCTCTCTGTTCCCGGGAGACAGCCATGGTGGCTACAGGCTCCTCCAGATGCCTCTGGCTACTCACTTTCTACCACAGGAGAGACAGCCATGCAGCTACCATATTTACATCAACTCTTCCTTTCCACCCTTGGAGCCATGCAGTTCAGGATAACTTCCCATTGGCTGGCTAAATCAGCCCAGTTCTCTAACACAAAAACTTAGCACTTTAATATCATTTTCCCTGCTACTCTCCAGAAAAAGTCAAATCCCTGCCAGTGAGTCCAGGTGACCCAAGCATGAAGAGATCCGTGTCCTCCTTCATGGCCATATCACATTTTATAAGTATGCGTGCTTCTAACGGGCCGCTGCCTTCAGATCATACACACTACGTGGGTTAAGACTGGATCTGTTCTTACCCACTCTTGTATTCACAAAGACTAACCTGGCACATAGTAGGGATTAAACATTAGATTAAAAAAGTGAATTCAAGGAACACTTTCTGTGTTCCCTTAATACAGCAACCTTCTCATGGCTTCTCTTTCTATTATCTGTATAATTCCTGGGCCTTCTGAAAACGAGACCATTGTCTCTATCACCACTTACGGGTACCTCCCAGGCTGGAACTGACTTCCCACGGGGACTGCTTTGCCGCTTCCCTCTCTTTAGTGGATAATTTTCCAACCATAATGTTGTAGGTGGCTCGTTCTAGGGCGACTTTCTTTTAAAAGTCCTCGCCATCTTTGTTTGGGTAACTCCACAGAGGTCTCTGTTTAGAGGGTGGAACTCGGGCTACCCCAGAAGGGCCATGTCATAGCTGATAGCAGAAGGCGTGGGTGAGCCTGGGACCCTGTTCTTTAAGACAGAGCCCGACAGCCTAAGCCATGCAACTGATCCATTCATATTTTCTATGAATTCATATTAAATCATCGTGAGCTCAGATGATTTAATCTGTAACTTGTGAGTTAAATATGAAGAAAGTCAGACACCATTCCTAATCAAATTCCACTCTACGCTTTAAATCAATGGCCACACATCTATTAACAGCAGACATGGGCCAAGGTCCTCGTCAGTCCTTAAAATAAATGCTGAGCATTTTACACATATCTTTCTGAGGCATGGTGATTTTGGGTGCTCTGATATAGATTACCAAATGAAGGAAGCATAAGCTAAAGGCATGACAAAGTTTTGGGACATATCCCCAGCCTGCATAAGTATGTCATTCTTTGTAACTTGCTCAATGGGAATCTGGTCTGAAAGCAGACTGGGAAACTGAGGACATTGCTTTCTTTCCCACGGAACCATGTTCCCACCATGTTTTCAAGAGG